TTTAGTATTAAAAGGGGCATCTTTGGAATATGGTAACAGGTAGTTTAGCGACTTTTGGTAAGGTGATAAAGGTTACTAGCTACGACTTTAGCATATGAGAAGTACACAGTTCGAACACGATATTTTGTCTCAGAGAAATGAAGATAATGAGATTTCTGTGACGTTTCAGAATTCAATTGTGATTTAGCTAATAAGCAACTTAGAACAATTTCGCTGCTAAGTGCAGAAGCGCTAGCTTCACTTTTTAGTAGGACTTAGCAGTACATGGATAAAGTCAAAGCGTGCGCAATCATTTTTGCATTCTGGGTGTTTTTTTTAAGTGAAAATAGGTCGACGTGTACATGATATCGTGTATGTGCAATTCTTAAAATGCGCCAAGCAGTGGGCGATTCTCACTTTTCCATTTCGCACTAATCTTTGTCATGATAAGCCCTTTGTTCCATAAAGTTCTAGCATAAGAAAATTGGTTAGCAGTTATTGAAAAAAATGTTGAGTTAAAAAAAAAAAAAAAAAAAACCCTTTACTTGTGAAAACAAATGCGTCCAAAAAAAACTAGCAGGTTGCGTAGCGGGGTTGGTCGCCAAAAATCGCCAAGTTACCATAATCCAAAGATTCACCTAAAAGGTAGGATGCTGGAACTTAACGTTTTTGTTCCCGGGGTGTGTTTATGCGGATTTTATTGAAATATATGCTCGACTCTGTATGCTCTGTCTCAGAAGATAGGGTGGAAGTATAAAGCGGTGGAAATTGACGAGTTTTGCTGATGTTTGAAATTTATATTTCTGCTGTTTGAAGAAGCATTCACAATGGTAAGTGCATTTTATTTCATTGTTGTTCTTATTTTGTAGAACGTTATGTTCATTGATTTTTTGCTAGGAACTTGGATACAACTCTGATATACGCCCTAATTTCACCAAATGTGGCGATGTGTTCTGCGCTGGTTTTTGGCACGATTGCGTGTTGTATGGCAACCTTGTTGACGTTGAAAATCTTTCGCTGGAGGTCATTGGTTTGCGTCATGCTCTGTGTCTGAGAAGCTAGGGGGAAAGAAAATGGTGGAAGTTGTGAATGAAGTTCGGCCAAAGGAAATATGTCGTGGCCATCCTGTTGAGGGCATGGGCATTTGGAGGTGTGGAAAGAGGGTCTGGGAGATTATTTGTGGCTGTGGCATGATAGAAGTAGGGATTTGTATTATTTTTTTTATTTATTTGAACCATAGTATGAATTCTCGATAGTTGGTTGGCTGTCATAAATACGATAGTGATTATGTGGGGCTGTTAAAGGCGGTATGAAATTTCTATTTCTGCTATTCGAAAAGCATTAATTATGGTAAGTGCATTTATTGTATCCTTGTTCTTATTTTGTAGAATGTTATGTTCTTGGTTCTTTAGTATGAATTTCTGCGTTAATGTTGTTTTTTAATTGTTTGAAATTTATTTTTTGTGTTTAGTGTCTAATGTGCAATTCGTAGATGTTTTTTAAAGTTGAAAAGATGCTGGTACTGGTTTATTTGAATTTATGTGTTATGTTATTAAATGTGAGGGTGGATTCGAGATCGTTTGTTGCCTAGATTGTGCCACACGTAGATTTTTTTAAGTTAAAACATATCGCTGTGTACATGGACTCTTGTCAAATAATTTTGATTAGAAACTTTACGGTTTTGCTATCTAAATTTTTTGTTTTTGTTTCGGATTTTTAGCTTAAATTGTGTGTTCAAAAGGTGGTTTTTGCATTCGCGAAAACGTGTTTTTGGAGACATTTTAGGCTAAAACTTCGAAATGTAGACAAAACATTTAGATAGCAATATGGCAGCGTGGAGTGTTTGGCGACTTGAGGGCGCATGTCAGAGTAGTTCCGGAACTTGTCATTATTGTTGTTTTTAATTATATGCAATTTTAGTTTATTTTGTTGATTTGTGTGCAATTGTGGAATCCGCTGATTTTTTTTTGTACATGGTATTCTTAGAAATTTATTGTTGTTATGTTAGTTTATTTTAGTGAGGTGTGCATAATTCCTAGATTCCTATATGCATAGATTATGCAATTCTTTTTTTTTTTTTTTAAAGTTAAAACAGATCATTGTGCACATGGATTCTTGTTAAATATTTTTGGTTAGAAACTTTACGTTTTTGCTATTTAATTTTTTTGTTTTGGATTTTTAGCATAAATTGTGTGTTAAAAATGTGGTTTCTGCACATGCGAAAACCACATTTTTGGCTTGAAGTTCGAAATGTAGATAAAAAATTTAGATAATAATATGGCGCTGCCAACCGAAAGAGTGCATAAGAGTAGTTCCGGGCATAGATGTAATGTAGTTTGGGATTGTACAGGCACAAACAGAATTGAGATGCTTATTTTCATTAATGGTATGAGCCAAATTACTTATTTACACTCATAAAGAATCTGGCTCTAGTTTAGAATTGGGTGCCCCTTCGATAAGCGACAATTTTAAAAAAATTTTGGCGATGAAATCTCACTTCTGGTTACCATGATAGTTTTAACTTTGTTTTAGCTTCCTGATTTTATTTAAATAAAAATAGATCAATGTGTACATGGACAAATTTAAGGCAGCACAATGCCTAGTTTGTGCAATTCTAGGATGTTTTTTTAAGTGAAAACAGATCGATATGTACATGGACACAGAGTTTGTGCAATTCTTCGATTTCTTATTTGGGTTTTGCGTAGCGGCCATCTTGAAATTTTGCCTTTCTGGCGCTGATCTTGGCGTCAAAAAAGAATTGCCAAGAAAGGGCTCCCAATTGTAAACTTTTACCAAGAATCTAAAGCAAAGTGCTATTAAGTTAGGCTTGACAAGAAACTTCATAATTCCCAAAGATATGACAAGTGATGTGCAAAACGTTACGTCTTTATCACATTTAACAACTATAGAACTACTTCTTCCCAGAACTAAGACATCAATATCATTAAAAATCTCTAGTCCACCTTGTGTTTTGGCGTTTCTTTTTTGACACCAAGATCGGCGCCAGGAAGACACAATTTCAAGATGGCCGCTACACAAAACCAAAATAAGAAGTCAAAGAATTGCATAAACTCTGTGTGCATGTACACATTGATCTGGTTTCACTACAAAAAAACATCCCACAATTGCACAAACTAGGCATTGCGCACTGCTTTAAATTTGTCCATTACACATCAATGTTTATTTAAAAAAATCAGAGGTTAAACAAATTAAATATCATGGTAACCAGAAATGAGATTTCATCCCAAATTTTACGAAATTATTGTTGATCGAGGGGGCCCAATTCACACTAGAGCCGTACTTTTCCTATGATTTATTTTGTGAGATATGGGAACAAATTTTGAGGGTTTTCATCCGCAGAGAACCCGTTGGCGCCGTTGCATTTTTACTCGCCAAGCTCGCTGTTCATTGACGATGAGCCGATCCGTAAACAGAATATTTTTAAACGTGATTTTTATCATGTAAATTCAAATTAGCAGACAAAACATATATTAAGCATATGGTAGTAAAAATTCACAGATAATAGCATGTAATGTAAAACTAACCGGTTAAACTGTATAAAATAAATGTGTATTAAATTCAAGTTAGCACAGAAAAGAATATATAACATAAGACAATATATAAGGATTTATAACGGAAATAAAATTTATTTAAAAATATAATTAATTAATATACTGCAATAACCGGTTAAGCGTGATATAAAAAATTTGTCATAAATTCCAGTTAACACAGAAAAAATATACTTACACCAGCAGTGGTTTGCTAATTTTGATGACCATGGTGATGCTGGAACTATCTGACGTCTTAGATAATCATATTTTTTATTTCATTTAATCATCTATTTATGTCACACCTCCATCCTCTGAAAGGTCTTTGTTAGAACACATAACAATATTTTTTTAAATTTTACTCCAAAAAATTGATTAGTCTCATAATTTTAGATGACAATAACCAATAATCAAAATAAAAAGCATACTTAGTAATTTAAAATGCTGTTCTTAGCTTGTTAAATTCAGAACACAACGTGAACAGCGTGTTCAAATTAGCATTCCAACTCTTTCATCCCGAACCGAGAACCGGATCTATCTACTAAATATTCTATCATTCGTGTTAAAATCAGAAAAAATATATAATAAAGAAGAATATATAACTACAAATCGAACACGACAGTGATAATTGAACAAATGACGGCAAGACCGCGAATAGGATAAATCCGTGTTCCCAGGTGTGAACTATTATCGCCAAAGTTGGCGATGTTTACATTTACCGGGTTCTCTGCAAAAGTGCTTCCAATTTTGAGACCAAGCACAAAGATCAGAAAAATGTATATAATTCAACTATAAATTTAACCTTAATGAAAATAGTGGTCACACACATTTTAAGTGAAATTAATCCTGTGTAATGTAAAGACTATCATTTGTAAAATGTTCTGTAAGAAGAATGGGACAAAATAGCTTCAAATACAACTAAAAACCAAGTTGAACCTGTATTTCACCGTATGGAAGCAATAACATGCCAACAGGCATACAGCAAAATACTGATCATATTATGCAACATATATTTATTTAAAGTAATAAAATACTGATCATATATTTATTTAAAGCAAGTTTCTGTATCCTCAATTTTTTTTTTTTTTGGCCAAAAAATCGCTAATGCTTAGTTCAAATCCTACATGTAGTTTTATTTTCTTCCAGTTTTCTGTATTATTGTCAGAAATGAAACTATTCATGAAGATCTTTATACTCATCAGCAATTACTTACTTGCTTTGGAAATTACATTTATAAAAATAGTTCAGTTGATTCTCAATTCAAGAATCCGTCAGGCGAAAGGTTAAGCATGCTTTGGAACAACACTTTTTTATTCAGTTCATTATAAGACCATTATTAAATGAAATTGTACACATTAGGGAACAGATTGCTCTCAACTACAAACAAAAGATGTAAAAGATTACTGTCTGCTGCAGATATAAAAAATAAAGAACACTTTCTTACACAAGAAAAAGAGAACAACTAGTACATACCCTTGGAGATACGAATTTTCCCCTGAATCCAGCTTGCCGCATATTACCACGAGCTCTTCCAAAACCTCTCTCAGTTCCACGAGCACCGCGTCTGCGTTGCATTCTGCCACCTCTATTTTGAAAAGCATTAAATTTTCCCCGGTTGCTTTTAATTAATTCATCTAAAGACATATCTACATCCATTTTTCCAGCCATTTTGATACAATTTGTAGAATTCCACAGTTCAAATTCACCAATTGCATTAAATCTCAAGCCTGCACCAAAGAAGCAATGATGCCAAATATATGTGCAAATTGTTCATGAATACATATCATGAATATTATTCGGTTTCACAAAAAAGGTTTTTTTCTTACTTATTCAATATATTTTCGTGCACTATGCTGCTGAAATTGATCAGTATAGACAAAAAGTAAAAAAAATTAGAAACCATTCTTCACAAAGACCCTTCATTAATTCTCATTTTGTGTTTATTAAATATTTTGAAATTTATTTTTATAGAATTTCATTCTTTTTGGGTCTTTGTGTAGAGTGGGTTTTCATTTTTTGTCTTACTTTACTTACTTTTTTTTATTTTACTGTTTATTTTTAGTCCTTTTTCACTTATAATATATATATATATATATTTACCAACTTTGCAGATAAAAGGGAAAAAAAGCTGAAATCAAAAGTTATTTTCATTATTAAAGTTATTTCAAATTAGTATATCCTTAACATTTTACATTAAAAGCCATTCTTTCAGCTCTTTCTTTCTATAATGAAAAAAGACACAAGTTATTCAAAAATTTCAATTTCCGTCTCTTTATTCCTGTTTTTGAATATTAATATTTTCAGATATTACGCACGAAAAAAAAATTGAAAAATATACATTCCGCTATTCCTAAGCCTTATTATTTATTTTGAAAAATGTGGTAAGATTTGGGTTGGCAACAGACAGAACGTATAATTTTCGTAAGAAAGAAGTGGAAACTCTCGTTGTTTAACTGGCGGGAAATATTTATTATTTTTATATTTAATTCAGGTATTTATTTTTCTTATTTTGTATCATTTATGTATTACTTAATTAGTTCTTAAGTTATAATCCTGAAGAAGGTGGTGGAGAAACATGGTTGTAAAGTGTGAAGGGAAATTTCCTTTCAGGCTTAAGGATCTGATTCCTCTCATTTTTTTGTATTGTATTGAAATAATTAATGGGAATGTTTTATGTGTAATTTTGTACATTTCAGTGTAATCATAAAAGTAATTGTAACTTTTTTATTGAATCTAACTGAAAAAACTTTGAAACTGGGACTTTTCGAATTCGAATTCAGTCTCTTTCGAATTACGTCTCTGATAAATTTCTTATGAAAACTGTAGTTTAAATTTCATTGCGAATATTTCTAATATTGTATCTGATCATTTTCTGATTTGTTAGTGTAAGTAGCATTAGCTGAATCCCTCTGTTAAACA